GGTGCAGCGGCAGCGGTGGCCCCGGCCCCACAGCAGGCAAAGGGGGCAAGAGGTGACAGGCTTAAAATTTGGGGGCGAAGGGACCTGCTTGCCTGGTGGCAATGCCAGGTGGATCCCGACAATATTATTGTTTTATCCCTACGGGTATAAGTTTGAGTTTTTCTCTCCTAATGCCAAGTATTTAAAACCTCTAGAAACCAATGATTTGACAATCAATGATTGCGCGATACTTTCAATTTGAATATTCAAAGGCTCCACAAAATGGGCTATCTTTTTGTGAAGCTGAGCACATCCCCATCTAGCAGAGGGTCTGGAGGAATAAGATTTGGTGGGGCCACCCTCCCCACCCTTTGCTTTTGGGACATTTGCAGGGTTTTAGCCATCTTTCCCCGAATGAAGCAGATGCCTCAAAACCGGCTCAGTATTTTCCCCTCAGACACGCAGGCTGGGCTCCAGCCCTCTCATATTTCATTTGCTACCTGCAGAGAGGACTCTGCAAGGGACCGAGCTGCTTTTTGCATAATTTTTCACATTTTAAGGCTAAATACTAAGTTTTTTGGGCCAAAATGGCAGTGGGCAGGTATGGCATAACAGCAAGGCTGCCCTGGGCACCCAGGTAGCTGATACTACCTGAACCCCACTTCTTTCCACAGCTCTCCCTTCCCTCTGCCCAGATGCAGGCCTTATATCAGAGTTTATTTGCGTTTTCCCCTAATTCAGACTATTTGCTCTTGCTGCACAAGTTGGCCTCTCTCTTCCTACGTTCACCAGCACTGCCCTGCCCTGTGTGCTGCAAGTGGTGGGGTTTCAGTGTGTGGTAGGATGACACAGTTTTTGGATAACCCTTCATCCTGTACAATACTGACATAGTTGGGTTTTTTAGGTTGCGCTAAAAATTTTCCCTGGGCAGCACGGTCTCTGCCATGCCCCCGGAATAACTGGCTGCGGCAGAAAGCAGGCCAGGCTGTTAATAATCTACTAGCAGTTCAGTTTGGCTATTGTTGCAGCTGAATCTTTTCTTTTCCTTTAAGTTGAACAAATACACTTCATTTCTGTGGGGAGTGGTCGCAGCGGCAGTGCCGTTCCTTGCGCTGAAATGTGCCTCTGCAGCTCCTGGTAGGCCAAGTCTTGCTCGGGCAACTCTGCAGGGATGCTTCCCACAGGCACCTCCGGAGAGGAGCCCTCTCCTCCCACCAGCGATGCAGTATGCTGTGCTGGGGGAGTTTTGGGGGGATGTCACAGGGGAGTACGCTGGCCTGCCCACGCTAAGCGGTTTGGGAGCTGAAGCCCTTGCGTTACCGGGGGTTCCTTCCTGCCGAAGCATCGGTGGTGGGTGGGTAGAGCCCGGTGAGGCCGTGGGCACTGTGCGGGGGAGCCAGCACTCCCGGGAGCCGGGGTAATGTTTACCTTTGTAACTAGAGACCACAGAGCAGAGCGTGCGGGCTGCTCAGCTCCAGTTGTGACTGAGCTGTACACCTTAAGGAAACATGAAGCACCCGTGTTCGGGGTGTTCCTGCATGTCCTGGGTTTCGGAGCATTTCCAGGCTCACAGACCCCCTGCCTTGGTTAAGAGCCAAATGCTGGAGTGCGTCAAACACTTCCAAGACAGCTCAAAACCTTTCTGTCCCTGCTTCTGCCTCAGAGCCCGACAGGAATACAGCCAGACTGACCCCAGTGTCCTCATCCATGCAAGGCCCCTGAAGAAGGTACAGCTGAGATAGCTGATGGTGACTGCTTTGCCACTTTGCCAAACAGCAGCTGTGGACAACGATTCAGCCTGGCGATGTCAGATGTGGCATGGAACAAGGCTGCAAGCTCAGGTGGGCCTCAGGTTTGGGGCACAGGGGCTGCGTGTGGGGCAAGGAGACCCCAAGAGGTTCTGGGGCTCCTTGCCATGGTCAGGGGAGCAGCTCTGGCTGAGCAGGTGCTGCCCCAGGATGCTCCACACCTGCCTGTGGTGCCCACAGACCAAACGGGAAGGCAGCTGGGCTCACCTCGCCCCATGCTTAGCATACGTGCTGGGGAGCCCTGGCTGCGGGCACTTTTCCTGGGCTGAGCTTTCCCTCTTTCTCTGGGGACCAACTAGCAAAAAGAAGGGCGTAGCCCGTGGGATGGGCGGAAGAGAGATGAGGCACAGAGAGCCACTGGAGTTTGTTTTCCGAGCAGGTCTGAACAAGGCTGGGGAATCAGGAAGCATGGAGAGGGACCCCAGCCCTGCCAGGACCAGAGCTGGGGGCTCTTGGCCACCCCATCCCCACTGCCCACTGCTGCAGCAGGCTGCGGACCCTGCCGACTAGAAGCAGGGGCTGCGATGAACCCCTGAAGATGTAACTGGGCTCTGCTGGGCACATTGTGCTAGGGGTGCTGGTGCTCCGGCTCTTGCAGCTGTTTCTCAGCTGCGTTGTGAGGGGTCAAGGTGAGAGGTCTGTCCTGGGGCAGCCTGCATGGAGCCTTCCCTTTTGGGGCAGCTGCTGAGATCCCTGGGAGCACTTGTTCCTTCCTTTGATGCCAGAACATATCCTGCATGGTTTGCTGGTGCCTAAACAGCCAGGGAGGTGCTGTCTGCCAGGTGTGGGCTAACCAAGGGGTTTGTACAGTTGCTGTGTGCACACCGAGGTGCTGGGATATTCCTGGGCTGAGGAGTGCCAGGGATGGTGCTAGGTGGTAAGCCTGTAAAAGAAAAGGCTTTGTGTAGAATGACTGGTGTGGCCTGCTTGGCAGCTCTCTGCAGTGTTGTTTTCAAGGGCCTGATATTGCTGCCTGTTTCTCAGTGCAGTGCTGTGTCCCCAGTCCACCTTCCCCCACAGAGAGGTGCCTGCAGGCAGCATGGTATGAAGAGATGCTCTGGGCCCGATCCTGTGTCCCTGGTGACATGTATGATTCCTGGAGGGTGCTGAGAAGACTCTAAATGCCCTGTCAGAGCCCCAGGATTTGAGGAGAAAAAGCAATGAGGGCCTTAAAGCATCTCATCACTACACACTCTCAGAACCTGGAAAGCTCCAGTTCTCCCTCAGTGAGGCTTTTGTTGCTGCTTCTGTGGGAGCCAGGCTGGAGGACAAGATGGGGCAAAGGGGGTACCCTCCGCCGGGTATGGACGAAGCAGGCGGCATTGGCCGCATCTGTGAGGGTTGCACAGGACTCCTGCGTGTGTGTGTGTGTTTGTGTGTGCAGAGCTACCTCTAGTGGCCATGGGGCCCGGCCTGGCACTGGGACTGCAAGCCAACCTTGCTCCCAGTTACAGCCCCAGGTGGGCGCCTCTTGGCAAGGGGCTGGGAGCAGTCTGCCTTATGCCCACTGACACAAGGCTTTGGGCCACTCCATTTGTATTGATCTGGCGTGGGCAAGAGGGGCAACAGCTCTGTGTGTTCTTCAGGGCAAGAGGGAAATTGGGAAGGGTGCATTTTGAGCATTGCAGGTGGGAGGGATGGTGAGGCTTCCTCGTGGGCAGATCAGCAGGAGGGACGGTGCCCCAGCAGTCCCTGCCAACCCCCTGAGCTGTCTGCCAGGTCCTGGTGTAGTGTGGTGAGCTTTATTTGGTTGTAGCGTCCTGTACTGTAGGCTCAAACATGCCATGCCTTTGCTACTCTGGCCATAACTGTTGCCCGAGACAATTCCATGTTCACAGCATGCTAGCATTAGGGATGCACGTTTACGCTGTTAGGTAATCAGATACCATTATGCAGACTCTGTGCTATTAAGGAGGCCTTCCCCCAGCCCCTGCCTTGCTCCCCAGCCTTCCCAAACCTCTTCTGGTAATGTTGCTCTGTAGATGTAGTTTAAGCTTCAGAGCAACCTGTTTTCTCAGCATCTGAAAAGAAGTACCTGAGATCCTTGTTTGTAGGAAAGGCCCATAGAGTGCAGATATTTTGCAGGCTATTTCACTCGTACCACAGCAGGACTGTGAGCAACAACTTTCATAAGGCGCTAGAAGGCACCACTGTAAGCTAAATGTGGCATATCCAAATGATTGTATTTCTAAACAGAGCATAAAGCATTGCATGTTGTTAGCATTCTCTGTTTGAAGGGCCAGCTTTAGGGAAAAGCATACAGGTAATTAATTTGTTTCAATAATGGTCCATTTTTCTTTTCCTCCAGCTCTTATCTCTCATCAATAAGTTCTCCGGCCTTCGTAAGTCCCCCAGGTGGGATTTCCATCCTCTTTTGCCCAGGCAGAGTTATCATGAAGGGGCTCCGAGGACTGGTCTGGCAGGAGGTGGCTCGTCCTGGAGGTAAGCTCATTTGCCACAGTCATGAATGGTGAGAAGGAGTAGGATGAGGTGGCAGCATAACTGGGGGAGTAGTGGACATCTTCAAGAGGATGCAGAGGGTAGGGCTGGGCTCCAGGGATGGCTGGGGTCCAACCTGAGCTTCGGTATGGAGAAATGCCTCCGGACTCATGTGAGGAGAGGCAGCTGGTGCTAGCAGGCAGTGCTTGCAGAGGGTCTGAGCATGCACCGTCCGACTGGCCAAGACTGTCAGGTGAGGTCTGCTCCCAGGGCTCTCTCTGCATGGAATTGGGGAGAGAAGGCAAGAAAGACCCTTAAGAATAAAAACTTGCCTGGAGGTAATGGCATATCTAGCTTGGCTTCACCGAGCCAAGCAGACCCCAGAGCCTAACTGGGAACACTCACAAGGGTTTCTGTTGCTCTGGAGCAGTATTTGGTGTTAAAACTGTTAAAAGGAAATATCCATGCTGTCAATAGTGGGCAAGGCCTGGAATAGGCTCCTGGTGGGAATGACCAGCCTTGACCCTGCAGGAGCTCTGCCCTGGGGGTATGAATGGAGCCAGTTCCTGGGAATCGGCAGGGATGGGGACAGGCAACAGCCTGGAGCTGACAAAGGATGTTTCTAGAAACTTAAGGACCTTAATGGAGTAGGGTTTTTGTGGAGCAGGGAAGGTTGTTAATTTAGGAGCTGATCTCCAAAGGAAGAGGGGACAATTAGACAGCAGATGGGAATAAAGAGAAAAACCGTTCCCCCTCAGCCCTGCCCCATCTGCTGTGTGCTGTGCTGTGGCTGCCTCCTGTAACAGCCACATCCTTCCCGCACAAGTCCCCCTGACTTAACCCCAGCTTTAAATTGGGTGATCTTTCATTGGGTGACTGAGAACCGTAGACTCACTCACTAGTAGGAAGTGCGCTGTGTCATTAGGGAAGGATGGCAGGAGAGGGGACACAGAAGAAGGGCTGAAGAAGGAGCTGGTACCAGCTGTGAGGGGAGTAGCACGGTAATCGCCATATTGGTCGTTGAGATACGGGTCCAGAAGTGCCGGGTAGCCCTGAGTGGCAGAGGAATCACATGAGAAGGCCTTGGACCCTAGAGGGGACGAGTAGACATCACTGACAAACTGCTTTGTGTTGTGGAAATCCAACTCAGTTGTGAAGGATCTCCTGACGCCGTAGTAACCAGACGTGGTAGGTGAGCCTGTGGTGGTCAGAAAAAAGGGTTGGCTAAAGGAAGACCGTAACATCAGCACCTGGGGAGCCACAGAGCCATAAGCACCTCTGCAGGTACAAAGTAGAGCCCTTTTCCCTCTAGTATCACCCAGGGCAGGAGTCAATCCTGTCTTGAAACAGGTGTGTTAGCCCAAGTACTTTTAGCACCTTGGATGGTCCTGATCCAGCTGATGACCTCCATCTGCAGCAAACGAAATGTGCTTTGGGAAGCTTCAAATATGAGGCCAGGGGGATTAAGGTTAGTTTTGCCAGCCTGTGCTTCTTTGCTCTGCTACAGCCCTTGGGGAGGAGGATGGGGTTACAGCTGCAAAACCCCTGCCTTTGTTCCAGCCTTGCCGTCTGTTCCCTGCCCAAGAGCTCAAGGGGCAAAATGGGTCAGCCCCAGGGAAAAAACGGAAGATGCAGAGGGAAAAGAAGGGGTTCTGTGTGGCAGCTCTATCAAGAGAGGTGGGAACTGCTTAAATTACCTCTCTTTCCCCTCTTTGGGGATTTCATATAAGATTACAGGGGACTTTCTTTTATTATTGTAGTTCCTATTTTGACGCTTTCAATTGCTTTCCTCCTGGGGTCTCTGAGGGGTGGCCCTGCTCCAGTGCTCACTTCATGTTCTTTGGAGGAGAAGAGAAAGGAGCCATGTCAACTGTCCAACTTGCCCAGAAGGTATTTATTGGTAGAGAGTAATCTCACCTGGCATTTGTACAAATGGTGACTGCGATGTGCTGGTGCTGCCCTGCAAAAGATAAAGATATGTTAAAAAATGTCTTTTCAAAGCAAGGTAGCTCTCTAAGTATGTAGTTTGGGAAGGTGTTGGCATAATTCAGATGCACTATTTGAGTCTTGGTGCTATCAGTATGAAGAGCTTAACTACAAGATTTCAAGCCTGGGGCATCTGAGGTATTAGCAGATGTAGGCTAAGAAGAGATTTTGAAGGTCTTGTGTAGAGCTGATAACAGTAGAAATATCAAGATAACCAGCTTCTCTCTCATGTACTGCAGGGTCCCTAATGCAGGCATAGTGCTGAGCAGTTGTTTAGGTATAGACACAAAATGGGTCTCAATAAGCTGGTATCTAAGCTCTTGGCTGGTCAAAACCAGGCAGATTCTGCACTGTGCATATTCCAGCCCAGCTCTCCTGTGCTGCATCTGCCTGCCACAGAGCCACTTTAGCTGGCCCCTCCTAGCAGAACAAGCAGGCCATGTGTAGAAGGCAGTTGTTTTTAGCCCCTATTTGGGTGCTACAGCAACACTGATAATAATCTCTTCTTAGTTCTGAGGTAAGACAGAATTGGCTGTGAGTGAACCTGGTGCTCATGATGGGAAATTCCTTACAAAGTGCTGTGGCAAAGGCATCTGTTCCTCTGGAGCAGAGCTCATACGTGGAGTTTCATTGAGTTATATCTCCGGACCTCCAAACTCGTAGAGCAGAAATACAGTGCTCACAGCTGCATTTACTTCAGCTGTGCTGTCGCCCTGGCCAGTGATGGTGGCATGCTATTTTCAGTTTGCATAGTGCAAACAAGAGGTCCCTGCCATAGCAGGCAACCAAATTTAGAGGTTTAGATTTGAATTAAATTTGCCAGTGCTATGACTTCCTTTTACTGCTGAAGGAGGTTTGCAGCTGCTCCCTGCTCTGTCATGAAAATGAGCTCTGAGCCCACACAAGTCACACGGGCTGCAGGAGTGATAGGAGGTGTCAGGAAGGAGCCCTTTGGCTTGTGGGCAGATGAGCATTCACTTTGCAGGGTCAGGGCTGGGGCTTGCACCTGTCTCCAGCTGGGCCATTTTTGGCTGCGGACCTCAGTGAGGATCATAGCTGGTAATGTGCACTGTCCTGGCAAAGCTAAAGCTTCCACATGCAAATCTGGTCTCAGCAGACACCCCTCTCTCAGCATCCATGTCACTTTAGTAATACCCTCTCCAGCTTCAGGGATTTTCCCCACCACCTCCTCTGCCTGCCTGTTGCCATCGTGTCCTGCAGCCAGCTCATGTCTGCATTCACTGAGGAGGGATCTCTTTGAAAGTAATGGTGCAGGCCTCTGCACTAGTGTTTAGACCCCAGCCTCAACACCACATTTGTAAGTAGTCTAGTACTATCATCTGGCACCCCTAATACTGTTTTTGAGGAAAACGTTGAGTTAAGAGGTGCAGGTAGCACAGACGCTGCATACAGGTCAAAGGGCTGCAGTGATGAGAGCTGGGATGCTTTGCTGGAGAGACAGGAAGGTTCTGGGCACAGCTACCAGCCCCCAGTATGGAGCATTTCAAATTACCAGTGCATCTAAGTTCATCTTTGATCCTGTCTGGTAAACAACCACTGAACTATCTGACTGCATGTTGTAGGCAGCAGGTCCTCTTGCACACACCTGTGATGGATAGCCACAGGGCTGACATTAGCTGTAAAGGCTTTACCTGCCTTTAATTCAATTCCAAGATCCTCTGCAGCAGGCCATCTTTGACCTTCATCATAGCAGGCACTTGCATGCTTGCAGAGACCTACATTTCACTTGCCTCCTGGCTCCTTATTAGGTGATGAATGGCTTGGCTTAATTGAAGCCCATTAGTCCATTTCCTCCCTGCATTATTTCCTTTCAGTGCTGTGGGACTGGGGTAGCTGGATCTTCTGCAACACATCAGTGTGTCTGTTTAGCATCAGTT